TTATCCTGCCCCTATAGGAGGTTTACATTTGACCTCAAATGTCCTCAATAACTGAGGGAAGGGTGAAGTCATCAAGGAGAGGGAAGCTGAGCTGATCACTGGACTAGCACTCTCTCCTTTCAGTCCAGACACAAGCCTTTACTCCCTGTGATCCCTGCAGAGCACAGGCTGGGACAAGTTTGAGCACAGATGGTATGTGCAGAGGAGTAAGACAGCACTGTGGGGATACACAACAGGTGAGAGAGCTCACAGAACATGGTGCGCAGACTGACAAATATTGTATTTTCTCTAGCTTGACTGTGCAGCTCTAAAAGAGATACATACACTTCTTTGAATTTCACACCTATCCTTCAAATGACCTTGCGAATTCTATCCCACTCCTCAGCAGCAATCACATCAATTGTGTAAGGTTTTTTAGAAGTTATTCAGTCAGCATTAGTGAGATGTGAGAGTTTAACCAGGTGATTTAACAGTGGCAAAAATACCCAGCCAAAGTTGTTATAATAAAGGTCTATGAAGACCATGTATTTTTGTTTGCATAACAACACTGTGACCAAGAGATAACTGCTCTTGGCTGTATGTTCATCTCTTGGCCACAGACACAAGTGAAGTTTTGTTTCTTCCTTTAGAATCACCAACTTCTCCAAAGCAACAACAAAAACAAACCAAAACAAAAACCCCAACCACAACAACCAAATCTGAGTTGGTGAAAATCTAACTTTAAGGCCTGTGACTTCTACTGGGTGATGTGTAGCAGTAAAGATCAGATTGCCATTTGCTTTCAGTGAGTCCAGGGATCCTAAAGAAAGGCTCATAAATCTCATTTTCCTTCTGGCCTCCTGAGTCCCTCAGGGGCTGGTGCTTGGGCCAACACTGTTCAACATGTTTTTTGGCCCGTGGACAGTGGGTCAAGCTCTCCCTCAGCAAGTTCACTGATGAAACCAAGCTGTGTGGTGCAGGGACACGCTGAAGGGTCTTGTCTGCCATAGTGATGTTAGCTCAGAACTTGTTATAATGTACTGGATGCAAGACTAGAATCTTACCCACACACAGCTGGGTTATGCAAGGCCTACATATATAAAATCCCTTCCTCCCAGTGCGAAGGGAAAAGTAATCAACACCCCCAAAACCCACAACCCTCCATTGTTGCGTATATAAAATCCCTTCCTCCCAGTGGGAAGGGAAAAGTAATCAACACACCCAAAACCCACAACCCTCCATTGTTGGACCAAGAGGACTGAGTCCAACATTTTTCTACATGCAGTATCCCTAGCTGTGGCTTTATTTCAAGCCCTATGCCCAGCAGTTATTAATTCAAGCTCTGTCTTTCTCAGACAGTGACATTCTCATTGCAAAAAATTGAAATCATATGACCTCAGTGCAGTGATGGTAATTGGGAAAGGCAGTGGGGTGCTGAATGACCCTGTTTTATTAAAACTGATTACTTATTTTCTTGTATCCAGTGGTAAATTATAGTTTTAATTCATTCTACAAAAGGAAGGCTCATTACTAAAGGAAATGAAAGTCCAAATGTGTTTAAAGCAAATCAAAGGAAATGCCTATTAGTGCAGCATGTGTTTAGCCAGTCAGTTCCCTGTTATGGCAGCTCATCAAGGCAAATATTGTATCTGAATTCTGAAAAGGGCAGGAAAGACACGATGTCTGCTAATAACATACACAGCCTGTCAAGGCAAGGTAACACAAGGATAATGACACTTCACACTCTGAGGCATCAGCTGTTTGCCTGCCAAGGCCAGAGAGCAGCTCTTCCTCATGCCACAAAGATTCCAGTTTAAATTTGCTCTTTCTTGCATTGGTGTGGTACAGAATATAGGAGAGAGGAAAAGGAGTTTTGGTCAGGTGTGTAATGTGTTTCATAGAATCAACCAGGATGGAAGAGACCTCAAAGATCATCAAGTCTATTCCAGACAGCGTTTGGGACAAAACTCTCCCACCTTCAACCACTGCTCCTGGAGGTGCTCCAGGAGCAATGGTGCAGGTCTAGTTTGGGAAGGGAATGCAGACAGTGAGGAGCACGAAGGTGCTTGGGCTCCACCTCAGGCAATGTCCTCTGGCCCAGCCTGGGGCACTACCAGTAGAGAAGGGATAAGAAAAATCCTGAGGGTGAGGTTTCACAGCCATCTCCCAGCTGTGCTCGATGGATGGGCTGCTCTTGCTTTGAGCCACCTGCACCAAGGGCACAGCCAACTCCAGGTGTGCTCTGCTGTCTGCGAGCACCGTCACCCTCCCCAGGCCCCTGGCGTCAAACCACTGGAGAAACAAAGCCCCAGGAGAACTGGGCACGGCTGAAAACAAAGCACAGCGTCCTTGGGCCTGGGACGAGCGCCGTGCCCTGTCCCTGCTCTGGCAGGAGAGGCGTCGAGCGGCGCTGGCCTCAATGTGCTCAGCCTGCCCCTCCGGCCCTTGTCCTGCATTTCCTGTAAACAGGGAACGCTTCCTCCCCAGGGATGACCTGGCAATGAACCAGTGTGGGCTGACGCGGCCGCGCCGCACCCACCGCCCCACTGTGCCAGGAGGTACAATGGGCAGCTGATAATGCACAACATGTTGTTCAAGGCAGCTCTACCCTTGAGAAACTCCTCGGAACGCTTCGTTTGCAACGCGGGTCAGCCACCACAGAGCTTTTACTTTCATTAGAATCGGCAGCTTCGTGGCTAGTGGAAGGAACAAGCCTTTAGAAGCATTTTAAATAGAGCCTCCCTAGTGCTTCAAGAGCTTCAGAGTTTTCCTCTGTACCCTATCCCAGACCAAGTGACCCCATGCTTAAACCTGCCACACAGGCTGAACCAGCACTGATTCTTGCTGTCATTCTTCCAGTGGCACCCTCAGTACCTTGGCTGCTGTGGCAGAGCCTGGCAAACATGCTGGCATGGAAAATGCAGCCCAGGCAGCAACAGGAGTGGAATCAGAACTGCCACTCCAGGGAGATTGTGCAAGG